TTTTTTTTTTTTTTTTTTTTTTTTTTTTTTTTCCTTAGGGGGGGGGGGAATCCTTTTTGCGGATTCCAGGCAGAGCTGCTTGGCCTGGATATGTGGCGACTCGACGCAGCGTCATACTAAAACTCGACGCTGACGCCCCTACCCACTAAACCCTAAACCCCTTTCTCTTCTATCCTCTGATCCCCCATGGTACCGCCGTAAGGCATTACTTCGTGAGTAATAGCTAGGGTGAGTAATTAGCTGCCGCTCTTCCTTCTGGTGGCTAAGATGTTATCTTCCTTCTAGATTCTGTCTTTTGCTCTTTTTCTCTCGATGGAACGCAGCTCTGTAAGCACTTCTGTGGCGAAAGTGTTCGTTGCATTCCAGGCAGCTTCTGAAGACAGCATTGCTTCTACGATTGTCTCTGGTTGAATTGTCTTCTTCAGGATCTTCTCCAGCTCCTCACGTTGTTGATTGAAACGCGAGCACTCGAAAAAAACGTGCTCTGCATCTTCAGTGGCTCCAGGGCAGGACGGGCACTCCGGAGAGTCGTCATGCCTAAAGCGGTGAAGATAAGCCCGAAAGCAGCCATGTCCTGACAACATCTGTGTTAGGTAGTAGTTGACCTCACCGTCATTCGGATTCAGCCAAATGTCGATCTTTGGTATGAGACGATGCGTCCATCTACCCTTCTCTGCGGCATCCCACTGAGATTGCCATCGTGCGATGCTGTGCTGTCTTTGTTCCGTTCTGAGTTCTTCTGCGCTCAGTGTTGTTGACCTCTTACATTGGTAAAGGTTCCTTCTTTCTTCAGCTAGGACTCTGAGAGGTAGAGTTCCAGAAATGACGCACACTGCTTCCTCAGATATTGTGCGGAAGGCGCAAGCTACTTTTAGGGCACTCAGACGATATATTGGTCCAGCCTTTCTCCATGCTTCTTGTAATTCTAGCGCATCGGCCCAAATAGATATTCCGTAAGTGAGCACCGATGTGACTACTGATGACAGTAATAGCCTCCTGCTCTGCTTTGGGCCTCCGACGTTAGGCATCAATCGTGCGAGGCTTGCCCTTACTACTGACGCTTTGGCACTGACGTGTTCCACTTGCTGTTTAAAGTTGAGTCGGGCATCAAGCATCACTCCCAAATATCGGATATAAGGTTGTAATGTGATTTCTTGTTTGCCGACTTTCAGCTTAATGGTCTCTACCACTTTTCTGCTAGTAATAAGTACTGCCTCAGTCTTATGGTGCGCCAGTTGCAGGTTCACTGCGTCCATCCACCGGTTAACGCGCTCAAAAGTGAGATCGAACATATGTTTTATCTCGTCAACGTGTTTAGCAACGATCACTACAGCTACGTCATCTGCATATGCCACGAGTTTGACGTTTCTTGGCAGAGTTAGTCTTAGTAGACCGTCATACATAATATTCCACAGGAGCGGGCCTAGAACTGAGCCTTGTGGCACACCTCCAGTGATATCATACTCCCTCGGACCGTTCTTCGTGTCATACTTCAGGACCCTGTTTTCAAAGTAGTTTGCTACGATCTTAAGAAGGTATTCTGGTACATTCTTCTCTTGGAGGGCCTGCATGATGCATTCCCAATTGGCGGAGTTGAAGGCGTTAAACAGATGTAACAATCAATTCCAAAATCTAAACAGTTCTTTAATTTAAAAAATGACGTTGACTGCTGCAAACCGCATCAAAATCGGGTGATGTGTTGAAGAGAAATCGTACACTAATTATTTTAAAAAAGTGTCTTTTTCAAATAACGTCGAATTTATTCTCGAATTATTTTTGATGACATAATTTAACTATGAATGCTCAGAAAACTGAGTCAGAGGCCGCCAATTGCTTCAAAATCATTTGGTGTGCTTGTGAGATATTTAATTTAAAAAGTAAAATCTTCAGGCCTACAAGATTATTCAACTTGAAAAAATTTTCCTGAATCTCTTAACCAAGAAAAAGAGTGCAAAAAAAATTACGAATCTTTTTTTTTGTGCTATTACTTTGAATTGCGTGAGAACTATGAGTCTAAAATTTTTTTCATCGGGAGTACCAAATACTAGAATTTTGTCAAGAGAACTCTTTTTTTTTATCTTGATATTATTTTTACTCAAGCGAAACCCGTCAAAAATTACGACAAAGTTTTAAAATTTTTTTTACTACCTCAATTTTTGTTAGGAATATATTGCTTCAACTAACAATGTCTCTTTTTTGGGTGATTTGTTCCTCTCTTTGGGTTCTTTCGTAGACTTATCGATAAGAAAATGTTATTTTTTTAACGATATTTTATTTTCGGATGAAGAAATTTTTTTTTCACTCTTTCAGGGAGTACCCCATTTTGCCCGCAAATAAAAAAAATTTTTTTTCTACGGCAACTTGAAATTTGATTATTTTCCTTTAATTACGACTGAAAACGAGAAAAATCAGCGTATTTAAGTCCTTAAAATCATAACGATTGCTTAAGTACCTCATTTTGCCCCCCCCTCCCCTAAGTATATAAATGGCTTACTGTGATGACAGAGTAAAATTCTTATGAAAGGTTTGCACAAAATTTGCAATTTATATCTGTAATAATTATCTGCGGCAGGACCCTTAGGTGGAAAACGACGTTCGCAGTTATCGAACTTGAGAGCAGTCTTGCGCAAGCCTTGTTAAAGATTGTTATATAGGTAGGTGTTAATTCGTGGTCTGCTCAATATAGTAAATATGATTGAAAAAAACATAGGGCACCTGACTCGAGGCATACTGGTTGCACGTGTTCTAAAAGCCTAGTGCGTTACAGAACGAATATTTTTTTATTGTGTCGCGTTGTATATTTTTGTTACAGGTGGTTTTACAGTACCGGATACCCGTCGATTTATAGGTAATTACATAATGGACATTTTTTCTTCTGAAGTTTAAAAAGCACCTATTTCAAGGCAGATATATCAAACGTTAGGACTATTATGAATCGAACGGTTACAAAAGCTTTTTGGGAGAAGTGTTTCATCTAAGATAAAAAAATTATTTACACGAAAAGAAATTCATATTTAATCAGAAACTTACATAGGTTAGTCAATTTTAACTGAGGAAAGAATGGTCTATAAATTAAGAAAAAAAATTAGGAAAACGGTTGACCCTGAAGGCCATCCCTGCAACTTCCTATTAATTCCATACCTAGGCACTTAAAATTGCACTAATGATGTTTTTGAGCTCTTCGAGCTCAAAAGTCTGATAGAAGTTTGATAAAACACTATTTTTTGAATTTTCAAACTGCAATAACTTTTGAATGAATCAAGCGATTTTCACGCGGTTAGAAGCATTTAACGTAATTTTTTCAGTCTTATAAAGAATCTTTAAGTTTAAATTGATCGAACTAGGAATTTTGGAGTGACTGAAAAAATTCTTTTTTCGGTTTTCTTTCGTTCACGATATCTCTCAAACGTATCAACCGATTTTGATCGGACCGGTGGCGATCGACGTGGTCAAATTGGTTTTTGGAGTTAATTGATAGAACCGTTTGAAAATTATTGCAAAAAAACCAAATTTAAAAAAGATTTTTTTCTTAGTTTTTTTGAGATTTTTCAAAATTTCTCAAAATCTATCAGTCCGAATCGGTTTAAATGCACAGGAAATCTAATTTTGGTCAATCCCTTTCGAATGGCGTCAACCGCGATGAAATTGGTTTAGTCGTTCAAAAGTTATAAACGGTTCACATACTCACACACACACACACACACACACACACACACACACACACACACACACACACACACACACACACACACACACACACACACACACACACACACACACACACAGCCATAATCCATGACGGCTACGGTACCGATGGGGATCAGAAGATAGAAGAGAAAGGGGTAGAAGAGAAAGGGATAGAAGAGAAAGACGGAACCTTTACCAACGAAAGAGGTCAACAACACTGAGCGCAGAAGAACTCAGAACGGAACAAAAACAGCACAGCATCGCACGATGGCAATCTCAATGATCAGGAGGACCAGTCCAATGAATCAGGACATTAAATAAAAAAAAAAAAAATTTTCAAATCAACTAGTCAACATTAATCTACTGAGACAAGTCTTACAGTGTGGTATTTGTGAAGATAGTCACGATTGGGACTGTGATGGGACTTTGGCGTCGAGCGGCCACTCAGTGGCGGAGAAGCGCGATCGTGACTGCGACCACGGGTCAGCAGGTTCATGTGCTCCAAGCTGCCTACCCGAGATTCGAGTTCTTCTGCTCTGGCTTCAGTGCTCTGCTTCTCTTCCTGGATCAGCCGGATCTCGATGTTGATGGCGTCCAGCTGCTCTTGCAGCATCATCGCCAGAGTTTGGGCGTCTGTGTGACCTGAAGGACTGATCATGTCCGCGGCTGAGCTGAAGAGACTCTCGTTGTCTCCGTCTACTTCTGCGTCGCTTGATACATCGAATGCTTGTTGTACGTTTGCTAGCACGTGAGCCTGCTGAAGTTTTTCCCACTCCTGCTCGGCCAGTGTGCGAGCAACGTAACTCTGTAATAAATAACGAGTCTAGAATATAAAATTTGTTGGATTAATATGAGATGTATGGATGATTGTGAGTTAAATTAAGAAAATTAACCTTCCGTTACAGATTAAAAAAGTTTAAAAAATCCAAAAGTGCACGCCTCATAACGCTCATTCATTTTTTAAGAGAAAAAAAAATTGTGTGATTAATTAAAAAAAAAATAATAATCAAGTAATTTCTTAGAGTATAATTTTAATTTTTTTTTTTTTAATATCGGCGCCCGTTTTTATCATAGCGCACGCAGTCTAAAAAAATCTAGCTTGATCAAGTGGTGCCACAGTTTTTACGTGAGAGAAATAAGAAAAGTTCGTTTGTTTTTGTACGTGTGTATCATAGGGAATTTTAATAAAAATTCAATTAAAAAAAAATACTTAAACTAGGCTACTGATATAAAATATGGTACCAGTTCATCGAATTCTTGAACAAATAAAAAAAACTCGGTCTCGAAATATCAATTTGTCCGGGAGTAATCGTTGGTACATACAAAATGGAATATGAGGACGTTCACGTAAAATTTTTTTCGAAGCTTTTTTTTTTTCAAAATAGCAATATTAAATGATTTTATAAAGTAACATCTACTTATATTATTGTATAAGTGCAATATGGTTGTGATAGAGGCATTTGAAGATCACAAAATTGCTTAACCGACGAGTCGGGCATAATATATATATTAGGGTGGCGCAAAAAAACCGACTATTTTTTTTTATTGAGTCTCGAGTGAAAAAATGTTAGTTTTTGATGTTTTAAGAGCCCTCACCAAAGGACAGCTCAAAAAAAAATTTTTAAGAGGTCACTCCAAATTTTTCAAAATTGCAAAAATCGTCAAAAATCAAAAATTTTTTTTAAAAATTTTTTTTCTCGTTACGGTATAATTTTATAGACCAAAAAAAAATAAGTTTCTGAAAGTTTCAGTTCAAAATTTAAATTTTGAAAGGTCGCTCATAATTTTTTTCAATTTATTAGTGCATTAGTTTAGATTTTTTCGAGCGACCTTTTACTATTCAAACTAAATTCTATGCATTTTTTAGTAGATTTCATAGAAATCTAACTATTGCAATGGTCCT